GGGGGGGGGGGTTAATGAATACACACGCAATGAGACACGGGCATTGAAGTGCATAAATTCTTTTTCAGATGTATACACACGATGTATGTGTGTGTGGGGGGAAGGGTCTATCAGTTAGTCTTCTTGTTTTGGGGAATGTGAATCTTAATCGAAATGGACGGGGCATCTTTTCTGTTTGTGTGTGCTTGTGTGTATGTGGAAGAGCTGGGCGATTAGAAGCCACTGAATATGCCACAGGGTGGACATCGTGAAACGTATCAGCTTTGGGAGAGTGAGAAGCGGGCGAGAGAGAAATTGCTGAAACGCGGATGTGAAGTGTTCGTACTGTCTAAATCTTGTTCATAAATTAATTGCGGCTATCGACGCAAAACGGTGGTGTGTGTGTGTGTAGGTGTACGCCCTATGTTCTGTGATCCTCCACTAGAGATCGCAGTGTCTCAATAAAGGCAAGGCGACGGCACAAAAGTTAAAGCATTGAGCCTACACGACAGTGAACACATTGCAGATGTAAGGGTTGTTCAGTAAATAAAAACAAAATCGATCAGTCAATCACAGATTGCTGATATTGAACGAGACAAATAGACAACGATTTATTTGGAGTAGAAAATTGTATCGAGAATATAGTTCCGTTGTATTCATGCATATTTTAAACACATCATAGTAGCATCAAAAAGAGTCCATGATCATAGCACAACGGGGCAAGCGGAATTTAGAAGAAGGGTAATGTAATGTACGATGATATATGAATAGTCAGTTAATAATCCATAGGTGTTCCGGATCATTTCGAAAAATTTGGGCGTTGTGCTCATGGTAACGATAGAATCAGGTTTGTTTTAGCCACAACGTGAATACCAAAACACAAGATTTCAGTGACAACGTTTCGACCTTCTTGGAAGGCCTTTGTCAAGTCAGTTTAATCGGTTTCTCAAAAACACAAGCTTTAAGATTTATCTTAAAGCTTAAATCGCGGCGTTCAAGGTTGACCCAAAAACGGGGTCAAGTGCGTAAGTTTCCGTGTATGTGTGGGCGTGTGCGTGTCTGTGTGTGTGTATGTTGGATTCAGATTATCATTAGAGTTCTGTGGGACCTGCACCTATTACGTGATCTGTGTTGGTGTGTGAATCTGTGTGTGAAAACAGTACACGAGAGGTCAAGTGGTTTGTTGGGGCAATGAAGAGAGCGTCACACCAGGCCACTGACAAATCAGTCCCCTCCGTGCGGTTGACACATTTAGCTTCAGTGTTAATCCACAAAGTTTCGGAGATCATCCTTTCTTTGTGGCTACGAAAACCTTGTCTCAAAATCTTGG